GATAGTTATAAGCTCTGATGAAAAAAGTGAGAGAAGTAAACATGTTAGCAAAAAACAAGGATCTTCAAGGAAGCAAGTCAAAACCCTCACTTCAATCCTCTCTGCTCGAAGCAAGGTAGTGAGTCCAAGTGTATATGCAGATCATGTGAAGAATTTGTTGCATTTTTTCTCTTATACTTGTGTTGTTTACTGTTTGTTGGTTGAAATTCAGGCTGTTAGTGGACTTATCAATAAGCTTAATGTTTCAATTGAGGACATTGATGGAGCAGATGCTGGTAATGCGTTGGCTGTCAGTGAGTATGTTGATGATATCTACAGGTTCTACAAGCTGACAGAAGTAATACTCTTTCACTTTTTTTAATATTGATTTTTACTTTCTACTTTATATGAATGTTAATATCAATTTTAATGCAGGATGAAGGCCGAGTACGTGACTATACGGATTTGCAGCCAGATCTCAATGCCAAGATGAGATCAATCCTTGTCGACTGGTTGATCGAAGTCCATCGCAAATTCGAGCTTATGCCAGAAACATTGTATATTACCATGAATATTGTTGATCGATTTCTTTCGATGAAGGTTGTACAAAGAAAGGAACTGCAATTGGTAGGCATTAGTGCAATGCTCATAGCATGCAAGTATGAGGAGATTTGGGCACCAGAGGTACTTACTTTTTTGCGTGCATTTGCATAACTGTGAGGCTTTGCTCTTTTTACTGATATTGTTTCTCTTACATTAATTTCAGGTCAATGACTTTGTTTTCATATCAGACAATGCCTATGCTAGAGAGAATGTTTTGGTCATGGAGAAAAAAATCTTGGATACGTTAGAATGGTACCTAACTGTTCCTACACCGTATGTGTTCCTCGTCCGGTTCATCAAAGCCTGTATTCCATCTGATGATAAGGTAATAATTTGTCGAATGACCCACTATCCTTTTGGAATTAGTTAGTATATACTAATTTGGTTTCTTTTCGGTGAAACGGAATGCAGATTGAGAATCTGGCATTTTACCTTGCTGAGCTTGGTCTGATGCAATATCCAGCAGCAGTTATGTATAGTCCGTCAATGTTAGCTGCAGCTGCGGTGTATGCTGCAAGATGCACCCTTGGGAAAAGCCCTCTGTGGAGTGAAACTCTGATGCACCACACAGGCTACTCGGAAAACCAACTAATGTAGTCTCTCCCTCCCCTGTTCTTTTTAATCAATGTATTAACCATCTTCTGATATAAAGTGTGTGGCTGCAACAGGGATTGTGCAAAACTCTTGGTAAAATTCCACTCAACAACTGCAGAAAGTAAACTCAAGGCATTGTATCGAAAATTCTCGAATTGCGATGCCGTGGCGCTTCTTGCACCAGCAAGAAGTCTTCTGCCGATGCCAATCAATCACGGAGAGTGATTTACCTGATGATTGTGGCTGTTATATTTTGATTAATTTTCAAAGGGGTGTTTCTTTTTTGATCCTTTTGAAGGTAGGATTCTTTTGAATTAGGATTTTAACTTGTTACCAAGTGTGGGTGTTTTATTATTTCTCTCATATCTAATGTAAACATTGGGTCTAATTTAATTTCATCAAAAAGTGTTGTTTGTAATTTCCAGCATTTTGCCTTTCATTGAAATTTCCAGGAAAAAAAAGAATTTTCCCAGAAAAAGAAATGTTCGAATAAAAAATTGTGGTTTCAATAAATTATTACGATGACTCTATCTTACCTAAGCAGCCCAAATCCAAAAACAGAAGAGCTTTTTCTAAAATGGATAAAGTAGAATCCCTATGGGATGAAGTGAGGGAGATCAGCCTAGGAACCACCGTGAACCGCCTTCACTCGCCGCCAACAGCGCTTCAATTCCTCAGAACAAGCCCTGCATAATCTCCAATGCCATCTCTCACTGGCCAGCCCTTTCCCTTTGGCCCAATACTTCTTACCTCCCCACCGCCCTTTCCTCCTCCATCGTATCCCTCTACCTCACCCCCGACGGCCACGCCGACGCCCTCGTCCCCCACCCGTCGGACCCTTCCCTCTGTTTCGTCTCCGCCCACGTCCAACCCACCCCTTTCCCTCAAGCCTTCGACCTCATTCGCCGACCCCCAAAGCATTTAGTAGCATATTTACAGCAGCAAAACGACTGCTTCAGGACTGAGTACGGTGAGCTCGAGTCTGATTGCGATGGCCACATTCCATGGGCTTCCGAGGCCTTAGGCTGCCTCCCGGAAGCCGTCAATCTCTGGATCGGAAACCATCTCTCGCAGACTTCTTTCCATAAAGACCATTACGAGAATCTCTACGCTGTCGTCTCCGGCGAGAAGCATTTTTTGCTCCTCCACCGACCGACGTTCACCGTATGTATGTCAAGGAATACCCAGCAGCTCGATACTCGTATTCCCAGGTTTTTACTTGAAATTGGGTGCTTTAAATTACAACCAGAATTTGGAAACCCTGTTTTGTTTTGTGAATGATGTATTTGATTTACAGGAGAAGGGGGGGTTTCAATTAGAACTCGAAAAACCGGAGAGATATGTCCCATGGTCTAGTGTGGATCCTTGCCCCTGTAAAGGGGAGTCTGAAGCAGGAGAGCTTGAAATTCTCATTGTATTTTAAAGGGCCTAAGCCATTTGAGGTTACTGTCAAAGCTGGAGTTGTTCTTTACTTGTGAGTCTTCCTTCTCCAGTTATGATCCTTTAGAACTGATCATGTTAGAATCATTTTTAAGAACAAGTAAAGTTTAGATCTATTGCAGTGATTTGTATGCTAATAAATGAAACAATAAGCTCTTTGTTTCATTCCCATCTAATTATCCATATGCATTTGTGCATTACACTTTATTTCCAATTCTCCGAATCCGGGTTTCATTGTTTTCAATGAGTATGGTTATTAAGAATTGTGGTTTTCATACCATGTTCAGAGGCTTTATGTGGATAATAATCCCGATGTTTTGTCGGTGTGGTGTAGGCCAAGTATGTGGTTTCATCATGTTAGTCAGAGTCCAGTAGATGACGGATGCATGATCGCTGTAAATTACTGTAAGTATAAGTGATTTCTTTGGTTTCTTATTTGTTGTGATTTTTCAGAAGTTGAAGTGTGCAGGTTTTTATTTGCAGGGTATGATATGCAATTTGATATCAAGTATGCATACTTCAACTTCTTGCAGTCTCTTCCTTGTCGATCAATCATTGATCCTACTACACCATATAGTGAATGTGAGCAGGATTTGGGACCTCATGCTTCTCCCTACCAATTAAACAGTAGATTCTCTGGTGATGAATCTGCAACAACCAATGTGGAGATTGATAAAGACCGCGACAATGTTTAACTACTGACATTTCGTTCGCAATGGTTCTATATAAGTGTGTTTCTTTTGAGGCAGTGAATGCAAGAAAACCGCAACGACTGTGATGCTGCTTTCGGTCGTCCACGACACCGAAATTTTCGTGGTCGAGAGAACTACCGTGTTCTACCTGAAAATGGTGGCAACACTAGAGAGATTCTTTGAAACATTTTTTATTGGTGTTGAATCTTGATGCCCTCAAATAGAGGACATAGAACATGGTTGTAGATCATGAAACTCAGGTTCATATGCTCAGTTAGATTTGGATTTTGTTTGTGAAATACCATCGGCTATATTTTATCTATTATTTACTGATTTTTAAATTTTGTGCGTGAACCTCTGTGGACCGTATGTTGGACAGATGATAGGAATATATAATAATACAAATCTAGAGGAAACCCAATGAAAAACAAGCATGATGAGAGCCGTCAGAGGGGAAAGTTTCTCTATGTTTATTTCAATGGTTTTGGTAAACCATTTTTTAGCTGTTTCTATTTCCATTATAAATCCATTATGTAACTAACAGGAAACAAAACCAGCCAAAGAAGCTCCAATTGTGAAAGATGGAAGGGGGCAACTTTGTCTTCCAAGGGTTACCCAGCCATGGCCTCTGACCTGTGGGACTACGGTGACACAATGCTCCAGAGTTGGCCACCAGTTAAATGCCATCGCCCCTCACCAACAGCCGATCTTAGTAGGCCATCACCGGTTACACTTGAATCAATATGCCCTTTGTTCCATTTGATCTGAAAACCAAGCCAGTAGAAGGGTAGAGAACTGTCTATGGGAATGACTATAACATTTGTAGATATCAGGTAAATCACCATTTTTAATGTTGTTTCAAGCACAATTTGTAGATCCCAACGATGCTTTCTATAATATTACAGGAACCTGGAGAAATGGAAGCTGATCAGTTTGTAGGGATTGGTACAAAGTTTGACAACAAAAGTGGCTTTAGTGATAGAATCAACCGTTGTCGAAACATCGATTGTATCAGATAATAATCCATATGCATTCCTTGATTTAACCTTGTATCTGTGTGCTTGTGTTTCATTATGATGACGGAAACTGGGAACTGTTGGCACCATGGGCTGGTTGTGAGGTAAATGCAGCGACTAAGTTCGTCGTGGGCGATATGGACCTGGTTTATCATATTGCCTGGCATTAAAGATTACATCCACAATGGTGGGTTCAAGAAGGATGTGCCATTGTTGCAGGAAGTAGTGGTAATGGAAGAAGTAGGGCACTTCAACCACATTGAAAAAGCCGATGAGATTAACTACCACATTTACGACTTCTTCCAGTTTGATTGGCTTTTTTTATCCTTAAATCCTTCCATGTTCTACCTATATCTAATAAAATTTGGCTATCTTAAGGACTCTAATCGAACATATATCTAATAAAATTTGGCTATCTTAAGGACTCTAATCGAACATATATCTAATAAAATTTGGCTATCTTAAGGATTCTAATCATCGCTTTATGCTCAAATAAGGTTCAAATCTTAGTGTTGTGAATTTCCATCGTTATACCCCCCCCCAAAAAAAAAAACCATCCATCGTTCACACATGATCAATCCTTTTGCATTAAACCGTTCAACAAATAGAAACAGATCCCGAAAGAAATCCTCCAAACGTAAGTGAATATTTTATACTAATGCAATAATAATTAAACAACAACAAAGCAATGCCTAGCGTTGGGAGAAGACAATGCTGAAGGCAAAGGCAAACATAGGGAAAAAAGAATGGGTGGAAACCAAATACAGGGAAAAAAACAATGATGTAATGACCTACTGTTACAAACTTAATGATGCATGATGGAAAAAAACCCCGGCATAATTACAACTAATTAGCATAACAGAATCCTAAGCAAGTCAATTTAGGTTTCTAAAGAAGCTCTATCATCAGGGCCGGCGAGCATGATCTGGCATTTAAAAAATATAGATATATAAATGAATAAATAAATCGTAGGTTTCTTCTACGACTACAAAGCAAAATTTTGGAGAGCCACAAAACTTACATTGCAGTCAAAAGCAAATCTCCTGCCAAGCATAATGGCAGCATTCCTCTCTCTCTCCGATTCAAATGCCAATACAACTGAAAACTCTTTCTTTGCTTGCCAAAACAATGCTTGTGCCGCTGCATTTCCGCCCCCTCTAACTCCACACAGCTAAAGCATATATAAGCACAAGAGGTTATGAAACAAACACGGTATATATATATATGTGTGTGTGTGTGTGCGCGCGAATATCAGAAATATCATGTTTTGTATCAATTTGTCAATTATTTGTACCAAGTTTTTGGCTATGTTACTCTAGTTCTTCCTTTTCATTGGAGAACCTGTGCCGACACCCATGTCTGAAACACTGGGACATACCAGTTGCACACATATATTCATATCTTACGCTCACCCCGTCTCTAAGCAACTTGGGTTCCATTTCACTCCTTTTGTCAGTGCCTAATATGTATTATTTCTTCTAAAAAAAATAATACTCCAAATCAAGGAACAATGTGAAGGATATATGTAGAATCATCCCCAAACCACAAAATTTCTCTCTTTCGCCTCTTTACTGTTTGAGAGAACACAAAAATCTTTTATTGCTGAGAAATTTTACTAGACTTAATACCTGCATTGAGCTGGAATAATATTCTTTAGAGAGTATTGCATTGCCTTTACATAACTTCATCCTCATCTTTCCCACATGTAGTGCATGAATAGATTCTGATGGATGATCTTCACCATTCATTTGGGTAACAATTACCTATATAATATATATATATATATATATATATATATATATATATATATATATAAAGAGTAATGATATAATATTAGAAGCCAAAAAAATGAATAAGTGGTTAAAATCTATACAAAAGATACAATAAAATGCACGTATATAAGAAGCAAATACAAATTTTTAGCAAATACATGTAACATATTCTCATGTACCAACTGGCCTCAAACAAGTGAAAAACTGATGAGATGAAAAAAAGTCAATTAATGATGTTAAAAGCTTTAAATCTTTTTTGGCATCTCATTCCCTGACCCAAAACCAGATGCAGAGAGACACTGATATAACAAGAGCTATTAGGATTGTGGAGTCTATATGGTCAATGTGTAGTAGTGTCAACAAGCAAATCTGGGTTTAGGTAACCAAGCAACCAGCACTTGCATTCGAGGTTGAAGTTGGACTGGAAGTTTTGCTTGGTGTAGGAACTCTAAATTCAACACTATTCTACAATTTTAAGGCTTTAAGACCTTGAAGGATTTTTTAAATTTTAAAATTCTCACTAGGATAAAATAAGTTTAGATCTTCAACGCTCCAATGAGCTGCAGCAACAGGAGAGATTTTTCACAGATCAATGCAATATAAGAAGAAATAAACAGAGAAGGGGTCATTTCCCCAAGGAACCACAGTTAGAAAGATAGCAATTGCAGAACATCTTAAAAAGTGAAGTTTAAGGTGGAAACTCATTCTGCTCTGGAGAACTAAAAGAAGTTCGCTTAAGTAAGATTTTAACTAAAAAAAATTATAAATCAATAGAAAGATACAACAATCAAATCCTATTTGAAGTACCCAAAACAAATAAAGGCTAACACTACTCTTATAGCCATGTAAGGGATACTGTTGTGAAGCAGGACAACATACATTGAATTCAACATCATGTTTCCGCACAAGTGCCTCCACATAGTTCCCCAAACCAGCAGCTGCTCTCAATAACAAAAAGCAAGAGTTACAAATCTCGATAAATAACGAGGTAAAATCTTCAACAAAAAAACCCTAGCAAACCTGGATCAATAGCACCAGCAGTTGTTAATATGATTAGCTCGCCATCATAAATAATCTCGACCTGCAAGATTCGACCAACATCAAAAGGCTCCGGAGCATAAACTGATTTGCTGGCACCTGGATAAAGCAAGTAGACAAATATATCAGATCCAAAAAGGAAAATGATCGTTCTATTGCCCATAAGAGTCAGGATTAGCATCTCATCTCAATAATGCTCATTTTGTAAATGTTTTCCGTGTAGGTTACCAAAATTATTTTGTTATGGTAAATATTTGTACTCGGGTGTGAGCATCAGACGCGAGTATGTTATCCAAGATGAGTATGCTAAATTATTTTAAAGGTTTCTCCAGGAGGGTCATATCCCCATATCCATATCTGAATATACAAATATGCTTCTTCTCTAGCATCTAAATAGTATGAAATTAAAAGCAACAGATGAAAATTCAAGCTCAAGCTGAAGTCGTAAATCTTTCATCAAAACAGACCTAATCTGTCCATAAACAGAATGTCATAAAATCTTTCTTAGATGCATGATGGTTCTCAAGAGACTCATTTATATGAGAGTTGTACATAAAGGCTAAGTAATAAACAAAAATATCAACTAATCCGGTCACCAACTTTAAAGTCAAATTCTATATGACCATCCTGATCCTAAACTCTGCAAGGCAGAAAGGATCTAACCTTGAATTTATCTGTAAAGATATTAAGAAATAGAAACCTAGTTCCCAAATGAATGAATTGAAAGTAGCAGAGGATTACCAATCAGTAGTAACAGCTACCTTCTGTTTTTACATTGAAAAAAAACGAGTAAAATTTATAATAGCTGTACCTATACTGCCTACCAGGGAAAAGATGACACAAAAATCATGTTCTATCTAAAGTAATTATTATAAATCCAGAGGCTTAATAGACAATATAAGCACAATATTTTAAAGTTCATTGAAAAGTTCAAGGAAATATGATAAACCTCAGCTCAGGTTACAGTAACAGGGAGACCAATTCCACTGATTTTGATGGGACAAACTATTCGATTTTCAGTACCATAAGATAACATGCTATACCATTGGATAATATTTGCATTTCAGAACGTCTAGCGGCATGCTTGAACATGGATGATTCTACTTAGCATGCATAACCTCCGACCTTAATAAATCAAAATTATATTTTCTGATAAAGTATTTTAAAATTGTATGACAGGCAACAAGATTTCAACATGTTATGACATTTATATTTTTTTTTTATCAAAAAAACCAGTTAGCCATGAATCTAACTTCAAAAGAAAAAGCTTGCCATGCATCAAACACCACCTGTTAACCTTAAACATAGAGAAGAAAGAATCAATGGCTATCTTTACCTGATATAAGCTCCTTTTTGCCACCTTCAGATGAAATACGGTACCACTGAATTGAGCATTTGGAAAGCTCTGGAGAAATATCAGAACAAGGTTTAATCCGCAAATATGAACCTAAAATTTCAGCACCATCTAATTCATACAAATTAGATAAATTTCCCCCAACTCTCTTGCTTCTTGCCAGCTGCAAAACCAGTCACGGAAAGCAGAAGGTTAAAGAAGTAAATGATTAAAAAAAAAAGAATGGAACACAATCATATGCACCTGTCAATTCCACACAAATGCCTACAAGAAACTAGAAAATAAATGTAACAAAAGAGTTAAAATCAAAAACCTTCAAGCCGGATACCATACCAGTATATTACTACTAAGTTATAAAAAAATGAGAAGTACCACACTAGTTCTACGTAATCAGTAATTAAAATGGAACAACAAACTTATGAACTTAGGATATGATTACTTTCTTCTTCTTATTATTAGGCAAAAATGCATCAGAGGTCCCTGTACTTTTAAAAGAAAACCAATGTGGCCCTTGTATTATTTTCTCTCAATGTGTCCCTCCAACTCAGAAAATAAACCCAATATGGCCCTTTAACCAACATTTTTCGTCGTTGGTTACGATGCTGACGTGGCAGTTCACTGTACTGATATGGCGATCAACAGTGGTTGATAACGTGGCGGATCACATGACAGATAGGCTAAATTGGTAACTCAAACATGGCAGATGGACTGCCACGTCAGCACCGTGGATCGCCACAACATCACCGTGAACTACCACGTCAGCACCGTAACGGTCAACGACGGAAAAAAACGTTGGTCAAAGGACCATATTGGGTTTGTTTTCTGAGTTAGAGGGCTATATTGAAAAAAAATATGAGAGCCACATTGATTTTTTTCAAAAGTACAGGGACATCTTATGCCTTATTATTATTATTTCTTTTTTCTTTTTCTTTTTTTTTGGGGGGGGGGAGGGATCTACTAGGGATGAAGTCCGTAAGTCCGTTTGGATTGGCACAAAACTGTACAATCACGTGTATGGCATTTTGAAACAGAATGCATAAGACTGTTTCAAAAGGAAAATCAGGGTCTTATCTAAGCTGTAGATGATATAATATTCACTGTTTCAGTCTTATTTTATATTTCTTAGAAATAGAGGTAATAGACATCTAAATTTGTCCAAGCATGTGAAATATTCATCAGAACCCCAAACATATGAAGGCCTATGCTGAAACCAGAGAATTACAAATCAATGCATTAACCCAAAGAGCATTGACCTTCCCAAATTTTTAGTTTCAGAATGTCCTACAACAAAGCAAATACCAATATGATAAAGGACTAGAAAATGAGAGAGAAATGGAAATTGTTTGGCTCAACATAGTACCAGAAAATAAAATGATTTAAAAAATACTTTAGAAGAACCAAGAAGAATATACAAATATTCAACTAATGGAAATAGAATGGCTGGAAGAAACTGATTAACTAAACATGATAAAAGGTAAAACCTCTTTCAGAAGAAGTAGAGAATGCTTAGACTTCTCTGCAAGTTGAATCCTTAATGCACGAAGCTCATGTTCCATATCCATAACCTGCAAAATGTTATAGGTTTAACTCATCCATTATTTCAACTAAAAATGAATTGAAACGGGTAAATCTAGCAGAAATGGTGTCAATTTAATTTGTCATGCTGCAAAGCATACATGCTTCAGAGGTGGCTTCTACATATATCACTATAATAGATTTGATAAGATTTGTTTACTTTGTAAGTACCCTTAAAATTAACATGCCTATCCATAGCTTGATTCATTTTGAAGCCAAAGACAAGCCATTTTTCAATTAGAGAGCCCTATGGGAGAAACCAAGCAAAAAATTTAAGAATGCAACACTTCAACACAAATCCTAATGAGCATATACCCAATGTTTACATAAGAGTCTGCTCTGTCCTCATAAGTCAAGACTCCAATATTCATGCTAAATTCAAATTGCATCATTTAATACTATGCAATATGCATCCCACTCCATCGTTTCTTCACCCTAAGTCTTGAGGAATGCCACAGAAAAAACAACCAAGAGGATGCTATTTTTTTATAAGAATAGAAGGCCTCGTTAAAAACCCCCTTCATGATTAATGGAGCTCATAAGAAGCTCCTTAATCAGCGGAAGGAGAAAAAGAGTATCTTAGAACTTCATTAAAATCATAAAAAGTACATAATGAATTACAACACCCTAAAACTCCCTAAATGGGAAGTAGAAAACCAAAAAAACATCCATAAACAACAACACATAAATCAACCTATTCCAACCTTAGCTAGGACATCTGCCTCTAGGTTAGCTGTCCTATTAACCCATCTAACAACACCTTCAAAAACTTTAAGTCTATCAACAATATCTTTAACAATAGAAGCATAAACATCTGGACATAATTCAACTTTCTTAATCCAGTCCACTGCCACCCTGCTGTCACTCTCAATAATTAAACGATCCTTTATCAGCTCTCGAAAAGAGACAAAGAACCATAAACCCTTTTGAATAGCTTTTAATTTCATCAATGTAGGAAGATCCGGACCAGCAGACTCCTTGAAAGAGCCTAAGATCAAACCAGAATCATCTTTTAAAACTCCTCCTAACCCACTTCTCTTCCAGTCACTAGTAGTAGCAGCATCAACGTTTAATTTGATATAGCCCCTGGGAGGTGGAGACCAAGGGAACTTAGATACAATCGGATTAGAGTAGTAAGAACAAGAATCCCCTAACGAAGGATCAAATATAAGTGAATCCTTAGGGATAAAAACCTCTTATACTTAGCTAAGAACCATGAAGCAAGCCTAAACCTTGCAAAGAAGAAGAATTCTGCCTGGTCTAACTTCCCCCCTTCAAACACGATAGAGTGCCTGATTTTCCAAGTGGTCCAAAGGACAACCCCTGGAATAAATGTCCATATAGTTGAGTTAGTCTTCAAACCTTCCCAGGCTAGGAGAAAGCTTTTAGCATTTTCATGCAAAACAGAATTGATCCTCCAAAACTTCATAAATTTATTCCATAAAGACCACACAACCGAACAAGTAAAAAATAAATGAGAGGAAGACTCTTCCACCATCTTGCAAAGAGGACATAACACATCTTCAATACCAAGTGGATGCTATCATAATGATTTTCATGTTTAGAAGAAAAATATTCAGTACCAGCAGGTCTATTCAATAATAAATCTTTCCATCCGGTAATCCTATCTATATAAGTCATACTTGGTCACCTATTCTCTTTAAAGAATGGTATTGATCATTGTTGAAGCTTAAACATATTAGTTGGACCACTTTCTATATGCTTAAGTGTTTAGGACAATTGGTCACCTAATTTAACATGGTATTAAAGTCCATGTGTGTTTTTTTTTACTGCACAACCCCAAGTAGGGTCAACCACCCCTAGTTAGGTTGTCCACGTGTAGGCCATTAGTGAGCAACACATAAAAGGGAATGTTATTTGTTGTTATATCATATTATTAAATCTTGGGTCTCCTGTGGCTCTATATTCAAGTTGGGCCCCTCACCTATTGCCTACTGGTTTTAGGTTGGATGGTCAACAATCATATGAACAAATTTTATTCAAGAGAGGACCATGGTCATAATGTGTCTTTGGTAATTAGTCTTTAAATGACAACAACATCAACAATAAAACCACTCAAATATTAGGGTACTTTACCTTACCCAAGACAAGCCCTAGATTTAAATTAAACGATATTAGCATAAACCAAGCACACGGTAATAAACGAAAAATTACATTTGTTGTTTTTTCACATGTAATATATTTTATTTTTATCTTTAAAGATGGATTTTTCCTTAACAAAATCCAAAAGAATGCTTAACAAGGCTTAAGCCATTATTATTATTAGGGGCTATGAAACAGGGATTAAACAAGAAAACTCATCAATCCCCACCAGCCATCCTGACCTCCAGAGAGATGATAAAAGTACTCCAAGTCTCCAACATTGTTTTCCATATTTAAAATACATAAGAGAAAATATATTCTAACATCTTTGCACTTCATATACTGTGAGTTATATTACAATAAGGATTAATTATTAGTATTTTATGAGTTATATTACGATTATGATTAATTATTAATACTTTATTTTCTTAGTAACTCTAGAAAACTATTTTGTAGAAATTCTATCCTATCTAGGACACACAACTAAACTTGTATAAAAACAGCATTGCAGTAACTTCTCAATTTACAATAAGAAAGAAAAAAATATGTTTTTAATGAATCCTATTTCCGCATGGTATCAGTTGCCAGCGGTCTTGATCGCCCGATTGCTTCCGTCACTGTTTTCCTTGTTATCTTTCTCTGTCGACGTTGTTACCATTCTGATCAACAAATCGTTGCTTTGCTTCGCCGTATATCATCGCCTGCACTCCTTTGCTCAGCAACCCGAATTAGCGTCCAATCCTCGTTCGTCAACGCTCTTTGCTTGTTCGTGGGATCTCCCTCTCATTAATCGTGATTACAATTTGAATAAATTAGCTGCAAACCTGCTAATTGGAAGTGTCCGATTAATCAATTGCGGACAATGGTTCTATTCGGATTAATCAGCATATTGTTTTATCTCCTGTACTTTATGTTCCGAATTTGACTTGCAAAATTCTTTCGGTTAGTAAATTGTCTGCGGATTTGGGCTGCATTTCCTGATTTAACTTTGATATTTGCGAATTTCAGAATTTGAGCTCGGGGATAATGATTGGTACTGCTAAGCGTCGTGGTGGACCTTACATTCTTGACTCCCCTCCTCCAAACTACAAGCCCTCGACTAGTGTGTCCTCCTTTGTTTCAATATAGCCATCACCTAATGATGTGTTTGTTGAGATTGTTTTATGACATTTTAGGTTAGGTCACCCCAGTTTTATTTATCTTGTCAAGTTGTTCCCCAAACTCTTTATTCATAAAAATCTTGCATCTTTTTCATGTGATATTTGTCATCTTGCCAAACACATTCACAACACATATCCTCCTTCTCCATACCGTTCTTCCAAGCATTTTTCAATGATACATAGTGACATTTGAGGTCCCTCTAGTGTCAAAAGCTTAAATGGTGTTCGTTGGTTTGTTTATTTTATTAATGATCATTCTCGTACAACATAGACTTTTCTTATGCGGGATAAATCTAAGGCAAGGGATATTTTTAAACGGTTCCACAAGATGATTGAGAACCAATTTCAGAGTTCTATTGGCATATTTAAGTCTAATAATAATAGTGAATATTTTTCTCACTCGTTGGGGTCTTTCTTTTAGAAAAAAAGAATTGTCCATCTCACTTCCTGTGTCTATACACCTTAACAAAATGTTGTTGTTGAACGAAAAAATCATCATCTTCTTGAGGTAACCTGAGCACTTCTTTTTTCCACTCATGTTCCTACATATCTTTAGGGAGAGGCTCTCTTAACTGCCACCTATCTCATTAATCGCATGCCCAGTAAAATCTTTGGTTTTATAAGTTCCAGGGATGTTCTTTCCCAAATTTTCCCTCACTTTAAATTGTTTCCTACAAGTGTTCCTCTTCGTGTCTTTGGTTGTACCGTTGTTGTTCATGATCATAACCACACTGAGTGTAAACTTGCTCCTCGGACAATCTAATGTGTCTTTGTTGGTTACTTTTCTCTTCAAAAGGGTTATCGGTGTTATTCTCATTCCACTAAGAAATTTTTTATATATATGGATGTCACCTTCCTTGAACATAAACCTTTCTTCACTAAATCTGAAATCCGGGGGGAGAGTGAGTGTGAATTTAAGTTTTTTTCGGTTAATGTCGAACTACCCATCAACCTCTCACCCATTAGACTCTCCTAAAACATCAAATTCACCTAACACCACTACCACACCTGAGATTGAAAAAATACTCCAGACCATTAATCCATTGGACTCTCCTAAAACAACAAATCCATATGTGTCACCATATCTTACCTACAAACATCGACCCAAACACATCCATGTTCCCACACGACCTGCGTAGTGCCAAGAGCCAGAACCAGGTTTAAATACCTTGGAAAATGAAGAAGGCAATAAGAGTAATTTAGGTTGATACTAGTGAGTTACCAATTGCTCAAAGAAAGAGTATGAAGAAGGCGATAGAAAGAAATTATTTATTCCAGAGACAATAAAAGCAGTTCTAAAAACTCCCGAATGGAAGAAGGCAATAGAATAACTCTCTGCTCTTGAAAACAACAAAACCTGAGTAATTATTGATCTTCTTAAAGACAAGAAATCAATTAGCTGCAAATGGGTCTTTACTGTGATATACAAGGCAAATGGCAGTGTTGAGCGGTATAAGGTTGTACTCGGGGCAAAGGGGTTTACTTAGACTCATGGAGTACACTATCAAGAGACTTTTTCCCAAATTGCGAAGCTCAATACTGTAAGAGTACTATTGTCCTTAACAGTAAATAAAGACTGGATACTTCATCAATTGGATGTTAAAAACGCATTCCTCAATGGTAATCTTGAAGAAGAGGTCTATATGTGGATTCCACCAGAGGTGCAGGTACAATCTGAAAATCAACAAGTATTAAAATTGTTGAAGTCTCTATATGGTTTAACAGTCTCTTTGTGCTCGGTTCGACAAATTCATGAAAGTATTTTTGCAAGACAACTATAAGTAATATCAATATGATCATACTTTGTTTGTCAAAACCACTCCAAACAAGAAAAAGACAATCTTAATTGTCTACATCGATGACATCATCATTACATGTGATGACTCAGGAGAAATCAAGAAATTGAAGGCGTTGCTAGCAAGAGAATTCGAAACCAAGGACTTACTTGAGATATTTTTAGGGCATGGAAGTGACATGATCGAGAGAAGGGATTGTCATAAACCAACAGAAGTACATTCTAGACTTACTCTCTGAAACCGGAATAACTGGTTGCAAGTCTTCGGAAACTCCCATGGAAGCAAATCTAAAGCTTAGGAAAAATAGGAATCCAGTAAATAAGGACCAATACCAAAGATTAGTTGGTAAAGTCATTTATCTGTCACTTACTAGGCCAGACATAACCTTCTCTGTTAGCATTGTGAGTCAATTCATGAATGAACCCAGAGAAGAACATTTAGAGATGGCATATCGAATTTTGAGGTATTTAAAGATGATACCATAACATGAATTAATTTTCATAAAACATGAAGATAGAACAATCATGATTTTCTCCGATTAAAGCTAGGCTAGAAAATTAACAGATAAGAGATCAACTACGAGTTATTGTTCATTTTTTTGGAGAAACTTGGTGACATGGAGAAGCAAGAAACAAGTCGTGGTTTCCATAAGTAATGCTGAAGCAGAATATCGGGCGATAGCACTCGGAATCTGTGAAGGTGTTTGGTTACAAAGACTCCTAACTAAACTAGAGGTGTGAAATAGAACCTACTTTAACCTTTAGAGTGATAGTAAGTCAGTTATAAGTATTGCTAAGAATCCAGTTCATCAATACAAAACCAAACATGTAGAGATCGACAAACACTTCATCGCCGAAAAGGTGAATAGTGGGGCAGTATAACTAAATTATGTCTCTTCAAAAGATCAACTAGTCGATGTCTTGACTAAGGCGCTTCCAAGGATCAACTTCAACGAGATTACATCCAAGCTGGATCTCTATAATATTTACTCCCCAGCTTAAGGGGGAGTGTGAGTTAATATTACAATTAGGATTAATTATTAGTATTTTATGAGATGTATTACGATTAGGATTAATTATTAGTATTTTATCTTATTAGTAACTCTAGAAAACTATTTTGTAGGAATTCTATCCTATCTAGGACACTCAACTAAACTTGTATAAAAACAGCCCAGCCATAATTTCTCAATTTACAATAAGAAATAAAAAAACATATTTTTCATGAATCCTATTTCTACATCTACGAGTATGAGTTTGTAGGACTAAGAGATTGTGAATTACTACAGCAGACACATATAACATGCACAATGAACAAAAAAGGTAAGCTGATTTTCATGGTTAAAAAATTTGAGCCAGCAGTATGTCAGAAACCAAAAGCGACTTAAAATAATTTTATTTTTGAATATTTAAGAAAAAAATAATCAGTATCTGAGATAAACCTTGCTTGGTTGGTGCAGCATTTTGATCCGTCTAGCCTCTTGAACCTCCTCCATTAATTCTTCCAGATCCTGAAATCCATGGAAAATATTTGCTCACATACAAAAAGACAAAAACAGAGAAAATTGTCACACTAGAAAGAACACATAGCAGAAACCTCTATGATGAATGCAGTAGGTTCACAAGAAAACAATATAATATGAAATTTGTATTAAGTGATAGCAAAATATATTTTCACAGTTAATGGCTTAATGCAATGTGGAAAGAGAGGAGTATAAGTACAATGCTAGATTTATTTAGAGATAGAACTTTATCAATGCAAATTTCAATTAGCTTTAAAAATTCAATAAGCAGAATATTAAACAGAAACCTGTTTGCCTGATGCTCGAGACATTTGTTCTCGCTCCTGAAGGGCCTCTTCCACTCTCTGAACTGCTGCTCTAGCATTCTCAATTTCAGCACGAGCAAAAGCTCTTTCATTATCGACAAGTTTCTTAGCATCTTCCGAAGCCTATTTGGAGACACAAGTATGCAACGTAAAGCAGTAACAGAAGAATTAGCATCTTATATGCATTGCAGTAGAAAAAGGGAGTGAAGCAAATAACTCAAGGACCCAGGCAAAGCATGTTTAGATATCCCAGATATTACTACAGCAGCCTTCTTCTAAAATAATATGGGTAGTTCAGGTTCAAGGTTTTCTTTTCTTTCTTTAATTCTCAAAACACATTTCTAGAAAGCAAATAAGTTAGGAACGTAATTTCTAACATAAGATTATATTTGAATAACTTAAACTGAAAAACAAAACTTGAAACAATGTGAATACAGATGAAAACAAATAAATAGCATTATTTTTTAGAAATGGGGTTCCTTGAGAACAGTTCCCTCAAAACTGTTCATTGAAAAAAAAACTTATAGTTTTGAGAACAAAAATAGTTCTGAAAACAAGAAGTAGAAAATAGACCTTCCCCAGAAAAACTTGAGAGAAATATAAAGATTTCACAATTAGGAATGCAAGTCTTTTCATTCCTTGCCTAGATGAGGGTTAACAATCAGGAGAAACTGGGAAAAGAATATAAAAGATTGCCAGTATAATCAGAAAGCAAAGTACCAAGCATTCTACCACCATTGTACTATCAGTAACTGTTTCATGACAGCAACCAGAACAAGGTGAAAACGAAGATACAAATTTAGGAGAGAAAATATTAAAGTCAAGGTTAGGTTCATAAAGAATAGATGAAATAATCAGTTACGTGCACCGTTTAAATGAATAGCAAGCACAACATTTTCTAAACTATTATTTTTATTCAAAATTTAAATTGGATATCCTCACACTCCATTTCCAGATATCAATTTGAGGACTTGAGAGAGCCATAATTTAACTGATATCATTCCAGCTAAAAAGATCTGTAGTTCAACATAAGAAAATGCTTTTTCCACTAAACTATAATAACTAACCAAAAGGTGTCATACTTATTCACTATTCAGCTAAATCTCTCTTCATGGGTACTTCTAACATGAAATACTGAAAGCTCAAGTGAGACAAATGCATCACTGGCTTTTTGAGATAAGACATTTATATTTTCAAAATTTTGATCAAAATTAAGTATCTCTCTTACCAAAAACACACTTATGAAGCACAACATGGATATGTAACAAATAATGTATTTGATTGTTAAGCATTTTTGGATACATTGATCAATGTTACAATTATACTTTCTTGAACAAATTTATTATGAAATAAGTGAAAAGGATGACAGATCATCCAGCATTTATCATAAGTTATATTACCTGCTTCAGGAAAGTTGCTAGTTTCTTCACTTCTGCCTTTTCTTGAATCAACTCTCCTTCTCTTTGAGTAAGTTGAACTGCCAGAGCTTCCACCTGGGGAAGTAACCATAACTCAAAGCCTTACTTGAAAGATTTAAGGCAATAAACAAACTAAGAAACCAAATAGATGGATTCACTAGTAGCTGAACCACAGAAAGCGGTAAAGATATGATCAGGGATTAGAAGAGAATCTCAAGCATTGAAGGATTTTCTTGCTGCTTTTTTTTATATCCATTTCCCCAACCAAAAGGTTGAGAAAAACACACATTCTCAATGCTGATATATTCAAATAAGATGAACAATTTTCTCCTATAAAAGAAGTTGGCTTCATATCTAACTACACTATAGATGATAGGTGTAAATTTAACAACACTTTCCATGCTATTTCTAAACCCAAATCCTTCTTTAATAGAAGGCTCCAATGGGTATAGCATATCACATTAAGTGCAAAGTAAACTCCAGACCTAGTGCTTTACCAATAATAACAAAGGGGAAAATGTTTGGAACAATATTGAGACAAATGATAATAGCATCCTTGAACCTAATAACTGAAGCAACAAATCAACAATCACACCCTTAAAGTTACAGCATTTTCTTCCTAATATTTCACCATGAACATTATTTCCTATGCACCAAAACTAATAGCGAAGTTATATTCAAGTAAAAATTAGTAATGAATTTTAAATATGGAATATATTATTTGAAAAATTGCCAGTGGTAAAAATTCCACAAATAATATTAGAATCATAAAAAGTGTCCCTTGTGGTATATTTAAAATTTTAAAATGTAAATAAATGTGATACTTGTCAACAATTTAACCCTGCTTGTGGGAAAAAAATTACAATGGCAATGTACCTGATAATAATCCTTTTAAATATTAGCATATAACTTCCAAAACAATTGTAAATAGGACTGGCACATCACTGACGGGTCACAATTCAATGATAGAACCACAAAACATAGAACACTAACCATGGCAATAGCTTGCACTACATCATCCTTGTTTCTTCCAGCGACGCACCCTTTTAAAGATTCCAGGGCATCCCTAAGCTTCTTCAAAAGGACATGTTTCTCCAGTGAAGCTGCCTCTCTAAGTCTAGCCTGAATCCAGTAAATAAATATAGTTTGTTTGTATGACAATCTGTATAGATTAAAATTTAATAATAGTTCCAAAGCTTCTCAACTGTTAAAAGAAACAACAGACAGAGACGAATCACTTGCACCAACAGACTACATAGAGACCCAACCTAGTTCTTCAATCCAGAGATACTCCAAGGTGCATAAACAAATCATAAGAACCTATAAACCAAAATTTATCATCCAGCTGACCTTATTGTCACACAAACAGAACACTGAGCTAACCTTTTATCTTTAGATTTAAGCACAATCCAAATTAAAACGTAGTTCCCAACAATCTACCTCAAATTCCATGGATTCTTCGCAAGGAAAAAATAAGTCAATCTAAGAAGGTGTAAAAATTAAACAAATGTCTTAAGCAATCTATCTAAGAAACCTGCATAAATTAAATTTGAAAGAATTTGACCTCTTCAGACAACTTAGCAGCAGCAGCTAACCCCTTCTCAAACTTATTAGCAAGGTCACGAACAGATAGACGGTTCTGCTGGTCCAACAACAATGTGGTCTCCCGAGCAACAACCTCCTTCATAGACAAAACTTTAGGATCTCCTTTGGCATTCACAATCTGATTATTTGCCCCAATTTTGTAATTGGGAAAACGACTTGAAGCAAATATTACATCAGCAGATACAGCTGGACGTGCTTCCTTTTGCACAGTATCACCAAAATTCCTACTTACCCTCGTCATTGTTCTGAAACCACACTCTGTTATATCACCAACAGAAAAGGGGATTTAAAATTAGTAATAAGATAATTGAAAATTCATTATGAAGAATAAGCTTTTGAACAGTTTGAACTAAAATGTAGATCACTACTAGCCAACCTAAATTAATTCAGTTAATTAATTATCTAATTAGTTATAAACATCTAACTCAACAAACGGATTTTACTCATATAATTTTAAGTTTGGTAAATAAGCACATATAAAATACATTAGTATTCCCATCATGCCTCTTAACAAAAACAAAATGATAGAAATTTTAGATCATTTAAAAAAAAACTCTGAACGCCAAAGCAAAACGCCACATTAAACACGTGTACAACAGGGGGAAGAGGAACCATAAAACTAAAAACACGATAATGTATAGTTCTATGAAACCCTAACTCAAGCAAAATTTTAAAATAACAAAGGAAAAAAGAAAAAGAAAATTGGAACTTACAGATCATGAAAAAAAAAAGTAAAGGAAAAGGAAAAATCAGCAGCGGAATTAGAATGTTGGATCAGCTAGAATGAAATGGAACTGAAGTTTTAGGAATTTGCAGAGAAATCTATATAAATGATTGACGAGGAAAAGAAAATTAAAGAGAAAATTGCAATGAAGGAAGACTGAGGAGATTGTTGATTCTGCTTTTTTGAAATGGTAAAGGCAAAAACATGAAGATAGGAGCGAAATGACAAACCCGCCCTTCCTTTTTGTCTATGGATTATTTTAGGCTTACTAAAAAAATAAATGTTTAAGTTGCATTTTAAATTGACTTTTGGTGGCACTTTAGGTTTTGGAGTCTGGACGTTACTGGCGTTAAATTTAACCGTTATTTGATATATATCATGCATATAAAATTTTATTTTTTTATTAAAAATTACTTAATATTATAATTTTAAAAAATTTAAAATTTATTTCTTTCACCGTCAATTGACTACCGTTGATTTGTAGTCATCACTGTTGATACTATCAGAATTGCCTAGCCGTCACAGCTAAAACTCAGTCTCCATCAACTGTGAAACTACACTTATTTTGATTTTTAAGTTTTCCTTTGATGTTTTATGATGATTCCAACAACTCCGACTATTTGTGCGTTATATGGCCGTTACTATTGAGTTCCCCGTCCTACTCTAAACAAAACTCGACCTGTGATGACCATTCGCCGTCGAATATGGGAGGATGGGAGCGAGAACATTTAATGATATGCATCTAAAAGTGTAACGGAAAGAATATTAGGCATCTATTTTTAACGAAAAATTCTTTAGGCACCAAAAGTCAATTTGAGTTATAATGCACTTATTTTTATATTAAACCATTGTTTTATTACTTCTCAAATTTCAATATTTTTTTTCTAAAATACTTAAACTACCTTAATTTCATGAGTATTAAATAATGGGTAAATTATACCATGAACACTTAATTGTAGAAAAATTTAATCTGATAATCAGTTTTATAATTTTGTCGATAACATGTATGTGGCAGAGGAATTGATGTAACAATTAACAAAATTGATATAATTTTACATCTTTATTAATTTAATTTTAAGTTTTAATTTAATAAATTTAATCATTCAATCAAATGATCATATTAAAATTTCACATAATTCGTAATCACAAGTTTAAATATATATTTGGATTTTTAGGATAAATTTGAATTTCTTTAATTTATCCTGAATTTGTTTCTTATGAAATATTATATTTGTAAGTAATTATTAATAAAAAAAATTAATTTTAAGTACGTTAGGAAGAAGTGATTTCTACGCTTAAGCTTAGAATTTTAAAACTACTTTTGCATGGACCCGCGGGAGACAGATAAAAGAGGGACTGACCCATCCATCAATTATTGTTCTTTTTAAGAATCAAATGAGTTTGAAAATTCTGGCAAACTACAGCTTTGCAGGCCCAATAAAACCACTTTTTCATCCACCAACGCTGCAACATTAGTGTCTTAAATTCCCATAACCTGTCTGTCTATGGCATTATCATGTGGATTGAAAATAAACTCCAAATCTATGAATGAAGAAAACTAACATAAATTTACCATTACAGAACCTTCTCCACGGCTTTCGTTAAAAGATGATGGCCCCTTGTACTGCCAAACCATCCAATAGCCGTTCACATGGATCTGGCAAGCATACAAGTGAATAAAGGAAATGTCAAAGGCTCTTTCTTGAGAAAATGTGATGATCATGTGCTAATGGTTGCTCGATCGATACCTATCGCAAGGTTGGCAGATGACATTGAGAAGACCGGTTTCAGTTGTGGAATAAAAGGGTACTGCTAATCAATCTCAAAAAATAAATACCAAAAATCAATTCCCCAGTATTTTGACTAGCTAACATTTAGAAATTATAGTCACAGAGTAGACACACTGCATATTTCGTACCTATATGAAAACTTCTTTCAAAGTAAATTAAGGGTCCTCCATAATAAACTAAACTCTCAAACCACTAAAGTAACAAAAATATGTAATCTAATTCATTCTCCTGATTAGCTCATTGATGTAATTCTCACGGTTGCCAGCATCTCCTCCTCCAACATGGTGGTTTCTCTTCTTCAGACCTCCCAATGGTGCCTTTAGCCGAAATGGCCAGAGGAAGCTGTTGGCCTTCTTAAAATGAGGCCCCACAGTTATGATCTCATGGATACGATCTTCCACACAGATGATACTGAATTTGCCCAAAGCCTGAAAACAGTACAAAAAACCATATCACTTAATAAACGTTTGGTGCCAACATGAAACTAAACTCTGTAAATGAAACATTACAAACCTGCTCAACGATTGCATTGTCAGTCAAGGCAATTCTCTGCTTGTTCAACTTCCCAAAACCTCTTTTGTAAATCAGTTCCCTCACGCTCTTGAGATTAGGATACCTAGATGCACACATCAGTGAGAAATAAGTAAAGGAGAGTAAAATAAAACTCTTTAAACAGCAACAAGGAAGCAGGAAAACCAGAAGATACCCGTAAGTCGCATATGGTTCAACCAGGTGAAGCATGTTCATTGTTGCCTTGTTCACTTTGAGAAAAACACCATTGAAAATCTGGAATCCATTGACACAGATGCACAATTTAGATTTAGATTTTATTAAGAACTATTGATGGTTTCTAATAAACTAACAGCAGTATCCCTAAAGTGATAGAAAGACTCATTTTTAACATGATTAAGCAGAATCAAACTAAAATATACAAGTTTGACAGCAAGTTTTCCATCACTAAGAAGCTAGGCCTAGGACCTAATTTCTGTTTTGAGTTAAAATATCAAATTGAACAAACCACTAAAAATTTCTACAACTTCAAACTATATGTAGAAGACACAACACACATAACCCAAGGGAAAACTGGAAAAGTGGGAACTGATTCTCATAACTGGGAATTTTAGATTTGGAAAAGATAAGGTAAGTTACCTGTCTCAAACGCAAGAGCTGCAAGATCTTTCTCGGTCTTGGGTGCATGGCATTGATACTTAAAACATATACATTCGAAAAATGTTACCATTTAGAATTTAGTTTCTTAAATCAATGAGATGTCACAATAATCACATACCCTCTGATTCAAATGATAAACAAAAGCTTAGCTTCTGGATCAACATAAACAATTGAATCAACTCCTTTTCCTAGCGATTACACAGCACAAAATACAAGTTAAGACGATTTTACAATTTGATTAAAAAAACTAAGTACAGAAATTATTAACGGAACAGAACATATACCTGAGCCTCATACTCCTTTGCATACTGCTTAGCCCTAGAGAAAATAAGCTTGCGGTTCTCAACTTTCTTCTTCTTTGCAGCTTCAAGCTCCTTTTTGGCAAGCTCCCATTCTTCATTTCTTTTATTCTTCTTCAGGAGTGAGTCGGGAATCGCAGTCTTAACTTCCTCACCCATCTCTAATCAAAATTATATCAAAACAAAACCAATCAGGAAACAAATTCCAGATATTCAAATAATCCTAGAATAAAGCACATTCCATATTCTTGAGCTTACGCCTGTTACTGACTTAAAGACTACAGAATGAAAGTAAGATGAATGGTCCATTTTTCTTTCCAAATAAGCTGGAAATATTAAATAGGGTATTGTTAGGATTTTGATGATTAGACGAACGGCTGGGATTCTTTCTCCCTACTTCAGGAACAAATCAGATCGGGTTTAGCCCAGACATATCCGAAAGAAGCAAAAGAAAAATATCCGATATTTAGGATTTTGAACCCGACGTGAATCGAACACGCAACCTTCTGATCTGGAGTCAGACGCGCTACCATTGCGCCACGGATCCGGTTAATACAGATTCTAATAAAATATTTATAGCGTTTAATCTAGACGATAATAACATCCTTTGACTAAATAATCTTCGAATATATTTTAAATGAGGTCAAGTTCAATTATATATAATTTTGAGATTAAGAAAATGATTCCAAAACCCAAGGTGAGGAGAGATAATTTGCAAAAAATATCAAATTCAAAGAACCACGGAAAATAGTTTCTATGACATGACATCAATTCTCTGAATAAATAAAAAGTATCCCCTCATTTAAACTACAAAAATATTGATACTCAGACGTCATAGCAATAAAATATGTAGAACAAGGGACAAAAATAAGTTCAATCAGAGAGTTGAAAATGGTGTTATGAACTTCCGAAAGAAATCAAGGACCTCTCCAAAAATAGCTCAACCACTAAACAAGGCCAGATTTATATTAATTCACCCTCTTAATTAGCTCATTGATGTATTTCTCACTGTTGCCGGCATCTCCTCCTCCAACATTTTGTTTTCTCTTCTTCAGGTGCCTTGAGCTGAAAGGGCCAGTGGAAGTTGTTGCCTCCTTAAAATGAGGTCCCACACTCATGATCTCATTGATAAGATCTTCCACGCAGACAATGCCGAATTCGACCAAATCCGGGCAACGGTAAAAGAAACAAGGGTGCTTAGTGACGTACTTCACTCACATGGGACTCTGTAAATGCAAAAATGAGACGGACCTGTTCAACGATTGCGTTGTCGGTCAAAGCAACTCTCTGCTTTTTCAACTTCCCATAACCTCTTTTGTAAATCAGTTGCCGTGCACACTTGAGATTAGGGTATCTAGGTTCATAAGTCACATAAGGTTCAACAAGGTGAAGCATGTTCATTGTTGCCTTGTTTACTTTAAGGAAAACACCATTGAAAATCTGCATTCAATAAGATGCAGACACATCAATTTGGATTTAGAATTTGTTTGTTCATAAGGACTGTCAAAAAAGTTTCCAATACAATTAACAACCACCATCCAGCCATCCACCTACAGTGTGGGTGGAAAGAAATACCCAGTGTTAACAAGCCAAAGAATCATCATACTAAAATAGTCACATTTCATGGTATTGTAATCGCCGGAAAGCCAAGAACATTAACTTTCGATTTTGTAGTGTAAAATGGAGCAGCCGGAGTTTCAACAACTACAAATAAACAATGCACACCAAATTTTTACTTGGACAAAAAGTCTCAAAGATCAACACATTGAACACATAAGAAGAAGTGGGAAGTCCGTTCTGATAAGTCATAACCATAATAATAATTCATGTAATTTTGGAGAAGAATCGATAAGCCAGCAAGAGCTGCAAGATCCTTTTTGTCCTTTGGTGCATGCCATTGATACTGAAACACAAACATTCACAACATATTACCATTTAGAATTTAGATTTGAATGCCAATGTATTGTCACAATAATAGAACATACCCACGGATTCAAAATGGTAAATAGGAGTTTAGCTTCTGGATCCATGTAGAAACCTCCTTTCAACTTTGCCTCCTGCTTCAATTGAATCAGCTTTTTGTCCTAACGATTACATGCCACATACAATATAAAATCATGAACTTTTAAGATTTTTGGGTAAACTACATAAATGGCCACATAACTTAGGGCCGGGTCGCGAAATGACCTCCATTTTCAAATTTGTGTCAATATGACTATTTAAATGGTTTCCCACAAGTTCAGTTAACAAAATTGGTATAATTAGGGTGTGTGTCCTTGTAAAGTTACGTATTTGCGACGCTGGACCCTACTTTGTTTTCTTCCATTTTGTTCACTACTTGTATATGATTTGTTTCCTTAGATTTTCATTTAATGCAATTTGATATTAATTCTGTTTTTAATTTGTCTAATGTTTTAATTTGAGCATTAATTTTAAAATCTTTTATTCTAGTCATGTATTAAATTTATAGATTAAATCCCCTAGATTTTATAATTAATCAATTTGATCACCAAGATTAACTTTAATTCTTAATTTTTAATTATGTACTAATTACCTAGTGTGTCAACTAGTTTAAGTAGTGGTGATATTTTGACTCTTCCAAGTGCTGACATTTTCCCTCCCAACATGACAATTATGCCTGAAAGTTCAAGTGGCAGATGAAAGTAGAAGTGACACACCTATGGTTGATTCTTCTAGTCATCATGTGGATATTATTCTAGTCAAAACCATCACCTGATGCTAATAAGGAGCAAGTGTGGTATTTTTAAACCAAATGCTTTTTCAAGTCATTTTGATGATAAAGTTCCAATTGATATTCATGAGGCTCTACAATCCACGAATATGAAAGTTGTGATGCAAGTTGAGTTCAATGTTTTGCAGAAGAACGAGACTTGGTATTTGGTCAAGCCGCCATAAGGATAACACTAGGGTGTAAATGGTTATTTAAGCTGAAGCGTAACTCAGATGATTATGTTCATCGATACAAGCTGTGATTGGTGGAAAATGGGTTCTCACAAGTGATTGGTCATGATTTCCATAATATCTTTAGCCCGATGGTTAAATTCTCCACGTTGAACCTTGTTTTTGCATTGGTTGTGTCTAACGGATGAGAGCTGAGACAGGTGGATATCAACAATATGTTTCTTAATGGCAATTTATAGGAGGTTGTGTATATACATCGACCACCAGGGTTCGAGAAGGTTGCTAAAGATTGTTCTCCTCTTGTGTGTAAGTTACAAAAGACGTTGTATGGGTTGAGGCAGGCCCCACAGAACTGGAATGTAAAAATGAAAGAAACTCTTTTGCAGATGGGGTTTTAAGTTTCTCGAGCAAACTCGTTGTTGTTCTTCCGCGATAAAGGTGTTGACCAGGGTATCAAATAATGTTCCGAAAACATGATAGCGGCCGTGATATTACGGTTGCACCACCGTTAGAAACTGATTTTCATGGTTTTTGCGGTGGGTCACGGATTCACACCAATCTCGGTCAATTACACCCGTAATTTAACGGGAAACGGACGATTGAGCCGATAACGGGACGCAACAACCGTTATTCAACTGTGATTCCAAGACAAAAACAAAAACCAAATATGTTGCAATCAACTGTATACAAAAACAAAAATGAAAATAAATGGATTATATTCCCTGCAAGTTACAATCTGCAAAAGCCAAAAGAAATATCCAATCTCTATTCAATTCAAGCCAAAAGTATACTGAAAAGTGAAAAGAAAGAAAAAATGGCTTACAACTTACAAGCTTACAAACAGACTATTTATTGGATGGTAGAAGTTAAAATATCTGCTTCCCAATTAAAACATCTCTAAATATGCCTAATAATCATAATATAATCTAGCACGCGCTTGGCAATTTCCTGAACCAGATGAACAAAAGTAGCATGACTTGCTTCCGGATTTTTAATCCAATTCAAAGCATTGAATGAATCACTTTCCAAGATAAGACACCCGTTTTCGCTCCACTCCAAATCCAAAAAAGGATTCAAACCAATTTGAATTGCTTTGAGCTCACTAAGAATCGAAGGGCCAGGTCCAGACGCATACGAGAAGAACCCTAACATCTTACGATCAGCATCCCTAAGCAGTCCACCGATACCACTACATCTCCAATCACAAGTTACAACTCCATCCACATTCACTTTAAAAAACTCGGTGGAGGGGGACACTAATAGGGCGAGGGAGAAAATTTCTTCATAAGACCAGTGTGCAAATCAATCAAAGTTAGATCTCCCACAAGACAATCTAGGAGAACAGGGAAATTGGACTCATTTTCTAAAAACCAGGTAGCCACCCTACATCTGGCCAATAAATACAATAGAGTTTGATCTAACCTTTCATTCTCAAAAACCATTTGGTTTCGGCATTTCCATATAGTCCACATTACAACACCCGAGATGAATTTCCAAATATCAGATTTCAGAAGTAAATCAAACCAGGAGTACATAAATGCCTTGGGATTATTAGGCAAGGTTGTATATGGATTCCACAACCTTAAAAATCGCACCCATACTCCCCAAGCTATACTGCACGAGAAGAACAAATGACAAACAGACTCGGGCTTCAAACAACATAGCGGGCAAAAAGGATCATCGATCCCACTTACACCACGTCTAATTAGAACAGATTTAACAGTCATCTTCTAGTGAAAAACCTACCATAAAAATGCCTCTACTTTGGGAGGTGCAATTCTAACCCAAACAAGCTTCGACCAAGACACATCCGGAACACATAGACGAGAAACTAAGTTAATGCACGATTTAATTGAGTATACACCCTCCTCGTTCCCTTTTCGAATACAACAATCATTAACGACCGATCCAAGACTAACATTATCCAACATCTATAATAACTCGATTCATTGATCAACTTCCCAATCTAGTAGATTTCTCTTCATTTGGATATCCCAGAACCAACTCCCATTCTTTAGAAAACCAAAATCCGCAATAGCCCCAACCTTATTGACCGAAATGGAAAAAAGCATGGGAAATTTCACCTTCAGAGGAATGTTGCAGAGCCATCTGTAGTGCCAAAATATAATGGAATTTCCCTTTTCAACTTGCAGAAGATGATTGCGGAAGCAAAGACCAAAAGCATCATTTGACCAAAAGTTATTGATTACTCCCTTCCAAAGCCAAGAAGAATGGGAAGACAAATTCTTATCCAACAAAATCGACCTTCTATCCAAATTGTACTTATAACACACCATCATCTTCCATCAAGACTCTCTTTCTCTACCAAATTTCCATACTCATTTCCCTAATAAAGCCATATTCATCATATTTAAATCAGTGATACCCAAACCCCCATAATCTTTTTTTTTTACAAATTGTCGACCAATTCACCAATGAATTCAATTTTTCTATTTCGAGCTCCCCCACAAAAAATTAGCCAGAACTAAATTCAGCTTTCTTCGAACATGAGAAGATATTTTAAACAAAGACATATAGTAAATCGGCAGCGCATTTAGGACAAACTTCACTAAAACAACCCTTACAGCAATGAATAATGTCATTGATTTCCACTCAGCCAGCTTCTGATAAAATTTCTGAAAAATCGGCTCCCATAAAGTTGTCGAGTTCCTCTTGGAACCAAGGGGGAGCCCAAGATACTCTATCGAAAAAACACCAAACAAACACCTAATTGATTTTGCCCATTCTTTGACAGTTGATTCTTCCAAATTAATACCAAATATCTTACTCTTCGATAGATTTAACTGCAGCCCTGTACACATCTTGAAAACAACCAAAATCCTCTAAATATTCTTCAATTGGCCTTGTAATGCGTTACAAAAAATTAGCAAATCATCAGTGAATTGCAGATGAGAGAGCAAGAAAGAACTATTAGTGCAACTGATCTAAAATCCATTAAACAAGCCCAACTTTACCACTTTGGACTAGGGTTGGCAATTATCCATGGGTGAGTGGATTATCCACCCACCCGTCTCGAATAAATGGATGAAAACCCGCTGTGAAACGGATGATTGGCGGGTGATGGATGGATCGGGTGATTGATGGATCGGGTGATGGGTCGGGTCGGATATGGATGAATTGTTTTTGACCCATCACCCGCAGCATCCATCCACCCATTAATATATCCATCCATCCATATATATAAACTTATTATATTATATATATATATATATATATTAAAAAATAAACAGATGATTGTAAATATTCATATTCTCTTAATTCTGACTTTTATCTCATTGAAAATATGTCTAATTTTTTAATATTGGTTTATCCCCTATTGATACTAGGATGGAGAAGACTTTTGAGAAGTGGTAGTTTTTTTATGAAGATTTGAAGATTATATTTGGTGTATAACACTATACATGATGCATCTCTTCACTTGAAAAATGTATCACAAACATAGTGCACAAGACTATATAAACTGTGTTCCATTTTGTTTTTGTTTGAATTTGATGAAAATTTATTGTTCATGTTTTGGTTTCTATGAATGTTTGAGTATCAATGTTTGGTTTCTATGAATGTTAGAAGAATTTGAGCTTAGGATATAAAAATATGTTTTGTTCATAGTATCATCCATTTCTCATCCGCTCCACCCGCTTCATTCGCGGATGATGGATGGAGCAGATATGGATGAAATATTTTATGGGTGATGGATGGTGTGGATGGAGATTTGGACCGCGGGTGATGGGGCGGATGAAGCTCCACCGGACCCATCTCCGATTCATTGCCAGCCCTATCTTGGACAACCAAAGATTTAGCAACTCTCCTACTAAATTAAATAACAACTAAGATAATGAGCATCCTTGGCGTAATCATGTATATATGTTAAAGTTTTCTGTAGGAGATCTATTTACTAATACTGAATTGGATGTTGAGGATAAACACTTAAAGATCCAAGAGCATCATCTATGCCCAAACCCCATATACTCCATAATTTTGATTAAGATCTCCCAATCAATTGAATCGTAAGCTCTTCTAAAGTCCACTTTACTTTCATCCCCTAGTAATCAATTCATTCATTCGCTATAAAGGAGAAATGACAAATCTGCCTCCCTGGAATAAACGCGAACTGAGAAATGTTGATCAGTGAATCAATACACATCCTTAGTCTTCTTGATAACACTATCGACAAAATCTTATACAATCCTCTAACCAAACTAATGGGCTTATACTCCTCTAAGCTAACCAGATTAGACTTCTTTGGAATCAGCGTGATAAACAAAAGATTCACACATTTTCCTAGCTTCTTTCCCAAGTAAAAATCATGGAAATTTTTCAAAATGTCCTCCTTTAAAGACGGCCAGAATCTTTTAAAGAACCCATGTTCAAACCTTCCGATCCTGTCGTCTTGTTACTATCTGACGAAGCAATTGCCTCCCAAATTTCCTCCTCTAAAAAGCTAACTTCCAAAAAAGAACACTGCTCCTCGGTTAACTTATTGAAAGGCATGTCCATATCCACCACCTCTAATGTTGGCTTTAAGTTGTATGGCTTCTTAAAGTACCCAAGAACTAAAGTACCTAAGAACGCTAGATTTTATCTGACTCGATTCCCTATCTGATCCTCCTTTTTCACCTTCAGTTGATGTTGAAAACATTTTGATGTTTCGATATAACAAATTAAGTATAAATGAATTTTAAGATTTTACAATCTTTTCAAAATATATTCGAATCAATTATTCTAATATCAAAATATTACTCTAAGTTTTTCAAAGATCAATTTCAATCCTTACTAAAGTGTAAAATTGTGTTTTAAACTTAAAATATTTTTGAAATAAATTTTACAAAGTATTTCGAACCAAAATCGAGCCAAAAATCAATTTTTTGAAGGGATGTACCGATGCACTCATTTGATGCATCGATGCACACCCATTTCAAATGCATTTTGTGTACCGATGCACAAGCCATGCATCGATGTACTCTTGAATATTTTGAAACATCGAATGCATTTTGTGTACCGATGCACAGACCATGCATCGATGCACTCCTGGCTCTTTTGAAACATTGAATGTAATTAGTGTACCGATGCACCCCTAGTATACCAATGCAATAAGTCATATAACGGTCGAAATATTTGAATTTTATACATAGTGTACCGATGCACCTTGACTATGCATCGATACACACACACTCCCAACTATTTTATTAAATGATAATTACACAATAACAGCTCTATTGACTTCACCAATGATCTCCAACATTCAGAAGTGATTCAAGGTGTATTTAAACAAGCTTAGGAGCCATTGATCAACAACAATTAAGAAGAGAAGCTAGAGAATCAAAGAGAAAGCGTTTTCAAGCCTAATTCATTCAATATTTATTTTTGCTTTCAAGAACACTTATTGTGCTCAGTTGTATTATTCTTGAGTGTTCTTTCTTTGTTCTAGAATTGTGAAAACATCTTTCCTTGTGAGGTTTTTTTGTATGTTTACCAAATTTGTATTGTTCTCTTTCAGAGAGAGTGTTCTCAAGAATTTGGGGTATAATTCTTGAGGGATTTGTATGGTTACTCTTTGTCCTCAAAAGAAAGACAAATTAGTGAATTTATGGAAAATCCTTAGTGTGGATAGCTAAGGTAGTGGACGTAGACTTTGGTTGAGAAAGTCGAACCACTCTAAATTGTTGTGCAAATATTTTCAATTTTCTACAAAAGGTTCCATCAAAATTGTTATTGCCAATTCACCCCCTCTTGGCTATTTCATCGATCGATTAACTCAATAATTGATATCAGAGCCTTACACATTTAAAGGTTTAATCGCCTATTGAGTCGATTCGGGAAGAGTTATATCGGTATTCAAATCATCAATGGCATCCACGTCAAACTTCGACTTTGCTCTTGATTCAATATCCGTCAACAAGCCTCCTTTCTTCAATGGAGCTAATTATGCTTATTGGAAGAATAAAATGACGTACTTCATTCAAGCAAGTGACATGAGAGCATGGAATATCAAAGAAGATGGATATATCATTCCTTCCACCCATTCAAGATTATGGAGTGAAGGAGAAACAAGAATGTTCCAGCTCAACTCAAAGGCTATCCATATTATTTTTGTGCTCTTGGACCAGATGAATACGGAAGAGTTTTATCTTTTACAACTGCCAATGAGATATGAGATTAACTACAAGTCACTCATGAAGGCACATATGAGGTAAAAGAATATAAAATTAGTCTCCTAACTCATAGCTATGAAAATTTCAGGATGAAATAAGGTGAAGATATCAAAGCTATGACGGATAGATTTTCAACGATTGTCAATGGTCTCAAGGCATATGGAGAGATCATTCTAAACAATAAGCTTGTAAGAAAGTTAGTTTACTCTCTTCCGAAAGCTTGGCAATCAAAGAAGACAGCGATCATTGAGGCTAAGAACTTAAAATCTTTAACTCTTAAAGAGTTAATTGATTCTCTCCTTACACATGAAATGATGCTTCAAGATGAGGTATACCTCAAAAAGATGGACGAGACAAAGAAGAAGACGGAAAAAAAGAACATATGAGTTGCTCTTAAATCTATAAGAGATGAGAGTGATTCGGATGAAGATGACGAGGAAATAACATTATTTGCTAAACGGTTTAGAAAATTGATGAGGCCCAACCGAGAAAGAAAATTCAAACGAAATGAAGGCTTCAAGAATGAATCGAGGAGAAAGACCCTATTATTTACTACG